CATTTAACTCATACACCACAGGCAAAAGCTTCTGCTGCTTGTAACCAGGACTAACTGCTTAAGTGCACATTAAAAAAATTATGAAGACTATGAATAATGAAAAAAAAAATATCCAATCGCACAACCATGATGTTTAAAAACATGTACCACAGAACACCTGCAATGTACAACCTCAAAGGATGCCGTGACTGTAAGTCCCCCAACAGCCATGTTTCTATTAATATATGTACATGAACACTGTAATTTCAAATGTCTTTATCTCCCCAAGAATGAAGACTTAATTAGAACTTTGAGAATATTTATTCCTATCTTTTTTGCCACTACTTTTCCCATAAATAAACATCTTTTTTTCATCAACCACTCTTTCAAGAAGTCCTCTCTGGTCCCTAACATTTTTCACTAAGAGGGGAGCGAGACAATTTTTCTAAGCCTCATAGACGTATCTCCCAGATTCCCATAGATAAGGCTGATGTATACAAACAGTAACACTTTCAGCTGTATGGAGAGTGGTAACAGGACCCACTGTGCCCTATGAAGTTTAAATGTGACCTATTGAGGGTGTCCTCATACACTTTTAATTTTATTAAGCAAACTTGAATAAAAAGAAGTATGCCACATCCTTCTTATTGATGATCCTTTGGAGTTGAGATCCAAGCTCCAAGATTAAGCTTCCTGTTTTCTGTTTTTATTTAAGGATTATGTTTCATAGAATCATAGAAGGTTAAGGTTGGATGGGACCTTGAAGATCATCAGGTTCCAACCTCTCTGCTATAAGCAGGGACACCTCCCACTGGACCAGGCTGCACAAAGCCTCAACAATTAAATATTTTCAATATTAACATATTATGATTAATTTAAAAATATAAATAGTAAATTATATATTGCTATTGATATTTTTATCTAATATTTTAATATTCCAAGAACTGTAACAGCCAAACAGTTTTATTTAGACACTAAATAAAAGCACATGTGGATACAGAAAATAAACCATGTTTTAGAAATTTATTACAAAGCAGAGACTGTCAATCTTCATGAGCCTTCGTATCCTAGTAACTACCCATGGTCTTTTATCTTTCAATGAAAATGCTATTTGTATGAAAACATATTCCTGCCTCCTTTCCTTTTCCACAGGTTACACTCAGAAAGCTTGCTTAGTCCAAAGTCAAAAAGCCCAAGAAACTCAAGTGCAAATGGCTAAGTCCGTAACTCTGTTAAAACTTCCACTACCCAGAAAGCTTTTAGTGTTTTAACTAGAGATGATAACAACTGACATAAGCTGGAAATTAAACAGTACTACCAAGGCCAAAAGAAGCAAGGGAAGTTTTTCTCTAAAGAGAATACTTGAGACCATGAAACCTCAACAGAAGATAAAATCTAGCTAAGAATAATCTCAAATCAACAGTTCTTTTATTAAAATAACTTTGACATTGCTCCCATTTTGGTAAGCTGGAAGGAAAGGCCTCAGAATTTCCTAGGAATATACATTCATGTTCTTAATTGAGATTTGGATTTTGAATAATTTGATTTTGTTCTTCAAAACAAAATTGCTCTTACAAACAACAGCAGTGCCTATCAACAAGGTATACTTCAGTCTCATATTTATGAGTTGTCTGGTATTCAGAACTATTACTTTCTTTTACTATTTATATTTTTTTAAAAAAGCACAACTTAAAAATAAAAAGCATTTTCAAGTGTTCACGTGTGACAGTACTTAATATCCAAGGAAAATCCTCAATTATGTCACAAACATTGACAAAAGCAACTTATTGTCCTAACGGCAAATTTCCTCTATGTGTAACAATTCTCTTTTTGCTCTTGCCTTGTCTTTTGCCAACCCAGCCTGCATAAAACTATCTTGCATAAAACACTGCCAATGGTATTTTTTAATGAAGATGGCCCTGATCCAACATGTACTTAAATTTATAGAGTCCAACCTAGTTGGCCTTGAAAGACAACAGAAAAAAAAATCAAGTTATAATAAGTGGAAAAATAATCATACCCCATAAAGATTTATAGATAATGAATGGAAAATCAGGATATATTAAACTCTTCCTATACAAAGCATACAAAGACACAGAAAGGTAGAAAAAACCAAAAACAAACAAATAACAAAAAAAAGAGGTGGGAAAAAAAGTGCCTAAAATGCAGGCTTCCACTCCTCTGCACATTTACTTCATCAGTACAATGATAAAATTGGATAGGCTCCCAGTGGCAGACTCAAATCCAAGGGACAATTTGCAATTATACTCAAGCACATCCTGCAAGCTTTAAGAGGTATTTCAGCAGAAAGGCCCGAGCTGTATCAATAACAAGGCAAACCAGTAGCTGTACTCTTCTACAAGCTGATATAGTTTGATACAAAAGCTGTTTCTAATATGTTCTGCTCAACAAATCCGACTGCAAAAAAAATCTTCTTAGGACTTGTCATACAAAATTCTTTGCTGTGACTCCTGCCCAGGTGCACACAAGTAAAAACGCGTTCAACGACTCAGACCTGTGCTCTAGCTGAATTTGAATTCCCATGATTTCTTAAAAACATGTGTACTTCTCGGAACCACAATAAGGAATTAATAATGGTAAGTAATTAATAATGGTAAGTTCTGCTAATACCACCTCCCTCTACTCCCTTTCCAGCACCACCTTCTCAGCGCTGCCCTTCTCATTCAGAGATCAGCATCAGGAAGCAAAAGTGAAAGCAATGGCCCGCGGGAAGCTACCGTGACCGGACTAAGAAGACTGACAGTTTTACAACTCAGTATCTAAAAATACAGATCACCTCCCACGTATTTTGTTGGTCGCTGCATTCCAGCCCCGGACCCTGACCCACGGCACTAGCAAAGCCGGCGCTGTGCACAACTAAGGCTTGAGCCAGCGATCTCCGGGCAGCAAACATGGCTCGCGGGCGCTCCCCGAGCGCTCATGTCGGGGCTCCCCGCGCGCTCATGTCGGGGCTCCCCGAGCGCTCATGTCGGGGCTCCCCGCGCGCTCATGTCGGGGCTCCCCGAGCGCTCATGTCGGGGCTCCCCGCGCGGCGAGGCCGCCCCTGGGCCGAG